TCCCTTTTCCACAAACTTTGGAAGTCTCCCCCCCCCCTGCCACACCCCCACCCCCCCTTGTCTGCTGAGAGCTAGAATGAACAGCACGCCTACTGTGCCAGCCGCTGGTGAGTGTGTAACAGGTTTTCAATGCTGCTGATTTTGCTTTTCGCTGATTAACAAGGCGAAAGATCTTTTCATATGTTTATCTGCTGTTTAGTTTTCTTCACAATTGAAATGCCATTCACATGTCCTGGTCATTTTTCTATTGATTTAAAAAACCATTCTTATTACTCCACAGAAATGATGTATATTTGAGTATTAGTTCTTTGTGTTGCAAATAGAACCCTCTGACTTATCCTTTCACACTTTTTTTTTTGGAGAGGTTTTCGCTACAGGGTGCGTGCGCTCGCCAGACAGACAGAGACATAGAGACAGAAAGCGAGAAATCCTTTCCCACTTGTTAGAGTAGTTTTGATTTTGTTTTTCAAAACAGAAGTTCCAGAAGTTTTGGCTAAATGAAATTTTAATATAGTTGAAATGATCAGTATTTATTCTTATAATTTGTGTTTTCTGTGTCTTTAAAATAAATCCTTCCTTATCCCAAGACCAAAGATAGTGTCCTCTATTACCTTTGAAATGCTTCAGAAGCCTATTACTTTTAAGTTTATAATCCATCTGTAACTGAGTTTTCAGATAATAGTATGATGCGGGGATTCCATGGACTAATTTTTTTATTCCAGGTGGCTGTCTTTTCCATAACTTATGCTGTCCCTCTGTGTGAGTCCTGGACACAGGTTCTGACACACCTAGGGTTGGCTCGTGACCCCTCTGCTGCATCCCCCGCTCCCAGCTCCATGGCTGAACTGACAGACTTACCATGTTCTTTTCTGAAATCTGTTCAATGCTGGAGACATAGATAGACACTTTCACAGGCACAGGGGCACCTACGGTATAGGAGGACACTGTTACATGAGCAGTAAGATAGGGGATAAGAGTAGGGACTCAGGAACACACACACACACATAGACATGGTCATAATACACATACACATATGGACATATTCACATACTCATTCACACACAGGCATGTTCATTTATGCTATCATGCCCACAGATACATGGGCACATGTATTAACACATGTGCACTCACAAACATGCTTACACATGCACTCACAAACATGCTCACATATAGGACCATACTCAAACCCACTCGTATATGAATATCCTCACAGCACACATGCTCATACCCTCACACATGTAAACATGTTTATACTCATTAGAACACTCATTTGCTCACACATGAACATGCTTTTGCACATGAGGACACAGCCACATCACGCAATATATGAACATGCTCACATACTCACATCAATACAACTCGTTCACGTATGTGGACGAGCTCACAAATATACTAACACATGAGCAGGCTCCACAGACACTCACATATATTCACCCCACACACACATATTCTAGTACATGCATGTGCTCACACATTCATTTACCCAGAAACATGGTCACACAGTCACTGGCACATTCACAAACACATTCTTACACACTCACACTTCCACACACACTCATACTTGTGGACATAGTGCACTCACACACTCACTCCCACAAAAGAACTCACCAGCTTCTACGTACATACTTATACACATTGACTCACCTGTATACATTCATACACAGGTGTACTCACACATTCACTCATGCAAACTTATAAACATGTATGCTCACATACTCATCTGCACATGAACACTCATACACTCACAGTCACACACACACATGCTCACACATTCATTTTTCACAAAGTAACATGTCTGTGCTACTTTGTGCTTGTAAATTTACTGCCATACAACATACCGAAGCTAGTGCACTCATGTATGAACACATGGATTTACTCATAAACATGGACATGTTCACATACACATGCACTTACACATTCATATAGAGGCACATGCTCACACATCGATTGTACGTGAACATGCTCACATGCACTCACACATAGGTACACATCTACTCGTTTACACGTGAACACCCTCACCATTTGCTTGCATGTTATCACACTCACAGCATTCACTTCTACACAGCAGGCTTACATGCATACATGTGCTCACACATTACTTCCCCACTCTCAACCACACAAATATGATTCCACATTCACTCATATGCAGACCTGCTCACAGACACAGGTGCAGAGCTCACAGGAGCACTCATGCATGGACATACAAACATTCTCGCACACTCACTTGTTCACACAGCCTGCATCTTGGCTCCTTGGAGACTCATCGCTTTGCAGTTTTTGTCAGGAAGGTACTTAGAGTGCTTCATGCTGTGTTTTCTCTTTATTTTGCCCTGACCCCGTCCTTTCATCAAGTCATGAACCAGGCTGTGCTCTGAGTGCTGTGAGGTTAGTGCTGTCAAGATCCCCATTTTACCATGGAAACCATGGCTCAGAGAGGGCAGACGACTTATTCAAGATCACACAGCTAGCAAGTGCCAAAGCAGGTTCAGACCCTGAATTTGTGTGCCTATGTCAGCGGGCATGAGAATGAATGTGTGAGCTTACTCATGTGTATATGAGAACATGTCGATGTGTGAGCGTGTTAATGTGTATCTGTGAGTGAATGAATTTACAAGTGTGTGAAGTGTGTGCTTGTGAGCATGTTTGTGTGTGAGCGAATTTGTGAGCACGTTTATGTGTGTCTGTGGATACATGACTGCTAATCAACGTGTGACTGAATTTATGAGTGTTAGCACATTTGCATGTGAGTAAATTTGTGAGTATGCATGCATCTATATGGATGTGTAAGCATATTTGTGTATGAGGGAATTTGTGTGTTTATGTATGGAGTCGGTAAGTTCACTGTAAGTGAGCATGTTCATGCATGTGAACATATCGATGTGACTGTTCAACAGTGAGAATGAATGTGTGGACTCACATATGTGGTATGTCTGTGTGTGAAAGAATGCATGATCATGTTCGTGTGTGTGTGGATGTGTGAGTATAAGTGAATGTGCGATCGTGCTCATGTAGGTGTGTGAGTGAAGTCATGAGTGTGTTCATGTGAGTGAGTGAAGTGAGGGTGCCTCTGTGTGTTCATGTGTGAGTATGACTATGTGTGTCAGTGTCTTTCCTCTGATAGGACTTGAACGTGGTGTGCGTGAGTGGGCAGACACAGCATTACTGCCCACTCCTCAGCTAGAACGAGTCCACCCAGAGTCCACCCAGCCCCTAGTGGGGCCGCCACTGTGTGCAGCGCATGGCATGGCTGCCAGGGAACCACCTCTGGTACTCATGATGCAGCCCACTGCTTTCTCTGGGGCTGACTACCCAGAGGCTGAGCTGCCGAGGGGACACTGTGATCCCAAGTCCAGTGCTTCACAAACCAAAGTGCTACAGGGACTGGGTGTGTGAACTGCAGTTGAGAAGCCAATGGGCCGATGGGCCTCTGCATTAGGGCACAGCCCAGACTGCTGCAGGAGGGCTCTGGTGAACAAGCCCAGGGAAGTGCAATGTGGGGATGAGGTTTGTAGAGCCACGGTTCTTGATTACCACCTACCCAGCCTCACACACCTTCAGAGGAAGGAATCCGTGTTAGGCATGCAACAAGGCCCTAGGGCTTGGCAGCTGGTTGGCCCCCCTTTCTCATCAGACCCAGCCCTATGATGCAATGCTGGGGGCCCTGGAAGGTCAGGGCAGAAATCTGACGAGGGCTCCCAGCTGAAGGGGCTAGAATGCTGTGCACACTCCCCTTGCTGAGCCATGTGCCCTAGGCCCAGGGATGCAACCCCAAAGGGAACACTTCTCTAAGTTGTCCACCTAAAAGGGCCACTTGTGTGCTGGCAGTGGTCAGGATGGGAGCTCAGCTGAGGTGCCCCATCTCTTCTTCTCAAGGCCTCCCTTCCCAAGGAAGCAATAAAGCTCCCGTCTGAACCAGACCACTGTCAGGCAAGGGCCTTGTATGCAGGCTATGTGTGGGTATGTGGGAGGAGGTGGTCAAGACCTGCAACCGCCCTACTCCAGACACAGTCCGTGCGTATTGGGAGGCTGTACAGGGAGTCGTGGAATCTCCAAACCATGAATGCCTGGCCCTGTTGTCCCACCAACTGGTCTCCCCACACCCCTGCCATCCAACAGCCCCAGACTTATAGCCTATAGTGCCCCTTCTGACTAAATGCCAGAAGGCCCCAAGCTGTCCTTGGCCTCACTGCTTTATTGATACCATTTCACCAGATCAATACAGGGACCTGTCTTTTCTCACATACTCTGGGTCTGCATGCCCACAAAGATGAATGGAACCCTTCCCCTTGAGATGGTGGTGTGGAACTGCAGACCTACTGTGCACCAAACACACAGGGCAATGCCAGCCCCTGCCCCTTCCCCCATGCTGAGAGCCTGCACAGATGGAAACCTGGTCCCAAAACAGTGGGGAGAATGTACCTGAAGGACTCAAATGGTTGTTGGCCAGCATTTGCTGACAGGCATGAGACCAAGGCAGGGGGAATCTGAAATGGTTACTCCCGTTTCCCCCCCCCACCCCCCCAACACACACACCATGCTTGCTGCAAGTGACGTGAGTAGATTCTGGCCAGACTCTAACACCTGGATTCCTGTGTACTCAGACCTCATTCCCTCGGGAGCCTACCCAGAAGAGGCACTGCTGCCCTTGCAGTGTAAGTTTATTGAAAGAGCCTGCCTATGCCCTCCCTACCCCAGCTTCCCAGTGCCTTCTGCCCTCACACTCTGGAGCGGAGTGAGCAATGGAGCAAAGGGAAAGCACCAGTCAAGGGTCCTACCTCCGAAGTTTAGGGCCCCAGACAACTGCTTTGATTTCATGGTGGCTCTCCAGGCACTTAGGGCTACTATAATCTGCCACCAAAGGATTAAGGCCAAATTCCCACCCTGAGCCTGTGTGCTCTTTGAAGCATTCCAAGGCCCCTATTCACGAAGACCTCTATATGCACAGACCGGACCCACCAGGAGTCAGTAACTTTTCAGGCTGGGTACCCAGTTGGACCTCCGCAGGAAGTCAAGAGCCTTTTTTGGGTAAGTCCCCTGGCTCTTCAGCTCATTCTGCTTCCTTTGAGTTGGAATGTGACAAACTTCCATGTAACATTTCCTTTCTTTTGTCGCCTTTGGTTTTCTGAGTGTCCCCTGGGGCAGAGAATATCACTTTTGTGTGGGGTGCAGGCAGGTTGCCTGCCACTTAAAGCTGTGTGGTCCAGACCAGCTGCCCTTTCCAAGGAGACAGGGTAAAGAGAACTCTATGGAGAAACCGACATGTTGACTTCCTGGAGGTTTGTTTGTGTGTGTCAGTCTCCTTGTCATTTCTCATCTCTGCTGCAGATCCGAGTGCCAGGCTGAAGAGTTTCCATTTTATCTGGCAGGTAGATGAAGCCCTGGAAAGTTCCTGACATGATCAGGTTATGAAGAACTACAGTTTGTGTGTGTGTGTGTGTGTTAAGGTTTTTGCCACAGGGTGCGTGTGCTCGCCGGAGACACAGAGACAGACAGTGAGAGGGAAAGTGAAAAATCATTCCCCAGGGAGGATGACCATGCTACAATCCCTTTTCTTTCACTTTCCTCTTGGGATTTCAGGCAAAAATGCACATGCTCCCAGTATGATTTTCAAGCCACTGGGCCCAGGACTCAAACCCATAGCTAGCCATGTGGGAGTTCAGCACCTTAATCACCACGCCACCTGCTGGCCCCACTGACTGCAGTATATTGAGTGGACTGAACTTGGTGGGAGCTAGAGGGCTGCGGAAGGTGGAGCCAAATGGAAGTGCCTGGGACGGGATGGGTTCAGTAAACTAGACAGAGCCAGTCACGCCCCAGTTAAACTAGCTGAATGGGGCAAGGGCCCAGAGTGCAAAGAAAATGCTCAAGTAGAAGAATGTGTGTCCTTCCCATAGCTGGAACAGGGAACTCTAGCTGAGAAACCTGGTGTGCTGTGTCTGTGGTTACCTCCTGTCCAGGCACACCATTGTAAGGAGTGTGCCCCAGGAGCAGAGAGGTGGGAGAAATTCCAGGGGGTCAAGGAGAAAGCCAGGAGTTGGGAGCCTGGGAGTGACCCTTTGTAGGATCAGGAAGGTGGGCTCCGCAGAGCAGAGGCGTAGCAGCTTCGTGGGCTGGGGGGGGGTGCTTCTGGTCACTTCCGGCTGGCTGGCTGGCTGTGTCTCAGCTCTGCTTCACCTCCACAAAGGCCCCTAGTGTCTGGGTGTAGCTTACCTCCAAAATTTGGTCGCAGACGGACATCATAGCTCGACAGCACCCTGTCCAAAATCTTGTGAACCACAGCTTCATTTGCACAGTTTTGGCTGAAACAGAGAAGTCACCAGTAAATGTTGGTTGCTGTGTGGCTGACTTGCTAGCGCCCACTTGTCAGGGCCTCCCCTTCTCCTGCACACGCAGTTATGTCCAGTCACACAGGTACGCACTCTCCCGCTCCCTCCCTCTCCACAGTGAGTCAGCCAGAAGTGCAGCAGTGACGCACTTTTCTTTCTCCCTGCCCTCTCCCTCCTCAGCTTTTATCGAGGGGGTGGGGCAAAGACCAAATCCTTGTTACCAGGCAGGACTGGGGGAGGGAGGGGAAGAGGAGAGGCATCAGAGAACGGGAAAGAGGGCAGGTGCGAGCCCTCCACAGATACATTCCGTCAACCCCTAAAGGAGGCCCGCCTTGTGATCAGCCTGGACGCTGCTCTTCAGGCGGGGAGGAGCCCCTCATGCAGGGCCATCTGATAGCCCCAGGAAAATCATCTCCTCTCAGTGCCCTCTTGAGCCAAACCAATGTTCTTCAGCTCCAAGTCATATTTCCCCTACACGGGCTAGGGCCAGGCATCTTGTCAGCATGATTATGACAGCCCTGTTTTTGTACACCTCTGTTTTTCATAATTGGCATATGGTATATGACACACAGAGAAAGTCTTGCTCAGTTAGCAGAGATTTAGGACCCTCATCCAACCAACCATCTCAGATTCTTGGGGCTCGGAGTTGTCCTCGAACAGACATCCACTCTGGGAGCAGGCACCTCTCCGGCTAAGCATGTGCTTCCCATCTGGAGGTGTCTTGGGTGAGCACATATAAGAGGACTCAGTTCAGCTCTGTGGGGAGCTGGGCTTTCAAGAGGTCTCTGACATGCTCACTCCATTCAGCTAGACCTTCAGTGGGGCTCTTATTCCCAAACAGGCCTGTGAATGACAACAGGTCCTGGGTACCACAGATCTTCGATGCACTGCCCAGGGAACCTCAGTCAGCCCCTGTAAGTGTGTGTGTGTGTGTGTGTACACTCCCATGTGCATACGTGTGTGTTTAATGGCGCAGCCTGGTTAAGATGGGTTGAGGGCATTGCACAGGTGTCTGCTGGAATCTTGCCTAATTCCTCCTTTTCTGAATATATATTCATTTCTGGTTTGCCATTTAAAAATTATTCCCAATCATCTTCAATCATAACATTTCATTTTTCAGCATTCCAAAGTGTGCGCATGAACTATTTCCAAATTACAGCAATGCATTCCTTTTTTTCATTAGCCGTGTGCGGGCACCCCGGATGCCGGCCACAACAGACACACGTTTCTGTGTGGCTTACACAGAAAGGCTGACTGTTTACATCTCTTCCCACATCCGCTGCCTGGGTAAACTTGAAACCGAGCACAGAAAAAACCAGGACGCTTCCAACATTTTCCCTGGAGTACAACTGCGCACTCACCTCAGGCCACACGGCCAGGCACATGCAGCCACAGGTCGCACCGCCTGGGCTCCAGTGACGCCGAGTTAATTTCTGTCTGTTACACTGGAGAGTCCCTCACCTCTCAACACACACAGGCACGAACACGCGCGCACGCCTCGGGGAATGCACTACAATCCGGACTCAAACAGGTGTCTCTTCTGTCGATGTTTGTGAACTGCCCACCACCCCTCTCACCCTCAATCCCACAGGTGCTAAAGGACTTGACTGAGGAAAGCTGCTGGGGACGTTAGTCCTCGGGGAAGCGCCCCCCACCCCCAAGTCGCAATCAGGCGCCACAGTAACAGGTGGGCTTAAACACAGGGCTCCATCTCAACCTGTCCCCTCTCCCCCGCCCCATTCACCTCTACTGGGACCCTCAGCCAGGACCCGCGCGCCAGAACCCAGAACTCCTCGAGGCCAGGTCTGAGTCTCCCCCATCCCCCAGCCCGCCCGTCCAAGATGCCCGAGGCCGTCTGCCTGTCCCCATCCCCACCACGTCTGGCCTGGCAGCGCCCCGCTCACCACTTAA